CCACCTGTGCATTTCCATCAGGGAGTGCAACACTCTGATAGCCACGCCTGCTCCTCACTCGTGTGGGGAGTGCCAAGCCTGCCAGCCCCACCTATGGCAGGGCTCCCAGAGTGGAGCACCCCCTGAAGAACTGGCAACCCATATGCCAAGATTCTTCCATTCCTGTCGGAGCAGGGAGGGCAAGAAGCCCTGTGAGTGCCAAGGAAGACTTGGTCAGAGTGTGTGTGCGTGCATGCGTTTACTGCACATTTGCGGTCCTGTTGCTGTTCCTTAGCAACAAGTCACTCTGAAAATTCGTTGAGAGCCATATCATTGAAAAAATAATCAAAATAAACTGGCAGCAGTCTTTTTTTTTTTTTTTTTTTTTTTTTTTTTTTTTTTTTTTTGGTTTTTTGAGACAGGGTTTCTCTGTGGCTTTGGAGCCTGTCCTGGCACTAGCTCTTGTAGACCAGGCTGGTCTCGAACTCACAGAGATCCGCCTGCCTCTGCCTCCCGAGTGCTGGGATTAAAGGCGTGCGCCACCACCGCCCGGCTTGGCAGCAGTCTTAGAAGAAAAAGAATCAAATTATACTTACAGGAATATCAATCTGGTCACGGATGTAGGTAGACTCACGTGTTTTATGTACTCATATGTAGTTAGACTCACGTGTTTTATGTACTCATATTAAATATGCATAAGATTAACTGAGTTACATGGCCAAACACTAATAGTACCCTTTTTTTGGAACTCCTCTATGCTAATAATAACTAGACATTCAATAAAATAAGTAACTATACAGAAATAAACAAGAGAAATGGAAAGGAAAAAACTCTACTGCTTGACGTTGTTACTGTCACAAATCCAACCGCCTATCAGACATTAGCAAGAAGATGCTTAAACTATAGTAAAGAAGTAACAGTGAAAGATAAATTCTAGATTAACAGTGCAATTTGAGCCACCAGATGACACCTCCGCCAGCTTCTGAATGGAGCCACAAGCACCAAAGCCACATGTTCAAAGGCAGCAGTTGAAGAGCTTCCTAAGCAAAGTTGAAAACCAAAGTACACCTTCCAAACTCAGAAACCACTGCTCAAAACAGAGTCCTGCAAAAGCCAAGTGCCCTGGGACAGGACCTGTCCAGATGACTTCTCGTCAATGACCCCAATTATCTCAAGTCAGAGGAAATTAGAAACAGTGGGGTTTGTCCCTTCCAGCAATTAGGGGGAAAAAAACCAGACTCTCTCTTCAGCCATTTACATGTGAGTTATCGTCCAAATATTAAGTCCTTAGTAATTAATAACTTACATTGGATGACGCTAATAGCTCTCTGTTATCATTCAGTCTATTAATATTTATTGAGTACCAAGTGGACTAGGCACTAAGTAAACAGAGATGAGCAGACAGAACTGACACTCAGTACCCACCCGTGCAAACAGAGGCTTTTTCTACCCCACCCAGTCCTGAGGCCCTTTTAAAATAATCACTCAGAGGCTTAATATTAATTACCAACTGTTTGACCTATTAGCTCAGGCTTATTATTAACTAGCTCTTACCACTAAGTCATCCCATTTCTATTAGTCTACATTTTACCCTGAGGCTTGTGACTTGTTACCTCACCTCTTGCTCCCCTGGCAGTGGTTGCTGGCATCTCTCTGACTCTGCTCTTCTCCCTTATCTCTGCTTGGATTTCCCACCTGGTTCTATTCTGCCTTGCTATTGGCCAAACAAGATTTTATATTAACCAATAGTAATAAAATATATTCACAGTGTACAGAGAAGTTATCCCACAGCCACACTATCAGCAATCTGCTTCCACCGAGTAGACAGAGCAGAGGGCCAATGAAGCTCACTCCTTTGGCTCCATCTCCAAAGACAATACCACAGCTCTCTGGTGTTGCAATGCATTTAACTCCCTGGTTTGCAATGCAGATCTCAACTCCCACAGAAGCAAGGTCACAAATAATATTTGGGTCCTCATAAGGATTATTGTTTTTTCCCTGCATTCAGCTACAGTGTGGCAACCGGGGGGTTTTGGCTTGTATTACCCCAGGTTCTTTAAATCAGCAGTATTAAACCATTCGTTCATCACCTGAAAGGTTGTGATGTGAATAGACATAGTTGGCATGCAAGACAAGCCATGTTCCCCTCAAAGTTCATGTATTAGAAGAACGGTAGCCAGCGTGGTGGCATTGAAAGGTGGTATAGAATGTTTAAGAGATAGGGCCTAGTGCATGATACTTAGGTCACTGGCGTGCTGATCCTGCAAGGAGTTAATATTGACTTTGCAGAGTAAGTTCATGTGAGAGAAAGAGATGATAAAAGAGGAAGATTGGTCCGCCCTGCCGTTGGCTTCTTTACTAAACATGTGATTTGATATTTCTCCATTGTTCAACCTTCCTCTGTATTTGACAAAGGGAAAGGCCTCACCTCAGGAGAGGTGGCAGTAGGCTGTTTAGGTTCTCAGACGTTCAAACTGTGAGCTGAACAGATCTCGTTTTTATATATAGCCCCCAGCTTCAGGTATTTAGTTTCCATAGCCATGGAAAATGAATGCAGCCGGGATGAACACAAAGCCCTGAATGCCTAACGGTGGACTGGAAGCCCTCCTCTGTCTTGACTTGTCCCTAAGACATGGAATATATTGGGGTTCAAACCTCACCAAAAAGCCTGTAAGGGTATAAATTTCATGTGCATACTAGCTACTGGTCCCTCTTTGACTCCACACTTCTGGCAAGGCTGTGCAGCTTCTTCTATTGCTCCTACAGACCCCTGACTGGCATAGTGTCTGATTATTTCAGAAGGAAAACGTTTGCGCAGTCTTCCCATTTTACAACATACATTTTGAGTGCAATCTCCACTCTAATAGCATTGAAGGTGCACCAGCACATTAATTTTTAACCAGCACTTTAGGCTCGGGTTTGCTTGGGCTTGATACATGAACCCCATCTTAATTTCTAGATCCCAAAGATGATGAACTCAGCATCTGATTTGTTAAGCAATAACCTCAGATGGGGGTCAGTTTGTGCGTGCCATAGCACAGACGGAAACACCAATGAAAGCAAAAATAAAGCAAACCCCAGCTGCTCCAAAGAGAAACTGAGTCTCTGAGACAACACTGTCTCAAACACATTTTATTTACGTTTAGGAGTTAGAGGGGGAAAAACCCATACCTATAGCTGTTATGGCTGGACGTCATGGACTGCCCTGGTCAAGGCCAAACAAGTTCTTCCTCTAAATTCATTAAGGATACCCTCGGGTTGTGCTCAGAAAAGGCAGGCATTTGGTGGTAACACAACCTTCTTGGGAACGAATATCTACCCTTTTCCCCTCCCATTGCTGCACTACTGAGAAAACAGGTCGCCATTCACAGGAACTTCTCTTCGGTGTGTAGTTCCTGGACAGCAGCAGGAAGATTTCCCAGATTCCACTCCCAGCATTCCCACCACTGCCGATGAACTCCCGGAATGGGCTGGGCACACCCTTCCTCATGATGAAACCCCCTCCTGTCAAATCCTTTCAGAAAGGAGCCAGCTGCTCTCCAGGGCAAGCTGTGCTTGGGGACAGGCACTCAAAATGCCCCCAAGGAAATAAAGCACCCGGTGAAGGTGAGAAACATAAACGCTCCTGGTAGGTACCCAGCATGTGGGGAGCAGACAGCTAGTCCAGCCTGGTGCTTGGGGAGAAATGGCTGTTTGGTGTGCTTGGCAGCCCCACACTGTCACACGAGGAGAAAGATGTGGCAGCCCACATTCATGACCAGGGGTTAGTGATTCTCAAGGCTAGGGTGAAAACTGTTCAGATGCAGTTGCTGACCCATACAGGCCTGGCTACCTCAGAACTTTGGGGAGCCCTGCAATGCTTGTTTCCCTGTCGGTTTCTGCTAGGCTCAAGAGGCCACTTTCACAATGACTGCAGTCCCTCAGCCCTCCTCTTCTCCCAGGCCTCACAGTTTACTAGAGCAAAGGGGATTTTCTCCAAAGGAAGCATCAAAGACCCACAGGCTAAGAGATGGCCACAGTAAGACTGGAAGGGTTTTTATTGCGTTTTGTGTTATGTCTGAAGAGATGACCACTGAGCATCCTCATCTTGGTCACCAAAAGAATGAGGCAAGGAAACAGCAGGAAAGGTCATCCACCCTAGGGCCATGCACCCTGGCCAAGATACTGCGTGAGCATCCCTTTTCAAGTGACGAGCAGGGCCAGAGTCATTCCCGCTGACCACACAGGTGAAAGACCTGCGCCATCCTCCATCAAGCCCTCTTACAACTTCGCCTCCTAGGCCCTCACAGTACAGAACTGCCAGAGAACAAACAAAATACAGTAATCTCACTGCAGTCAATACAATGGCTTAAACATCACAGCAAGTGCCTCAAAGTCAAGGGAATGTCTCACTTTTATATAAAAGCATTTATTCAAGTGTCTCCGCATGACCACCCCTAAACAGAATTCATTGGCCTTAAGAGCATCAATTATGTGTTCACGGAAACAGTCTCTGGTTCTCAGCCCTGAGAATTTTTCCACTTAAATAAGAACCCATCCATGCACAAACTCACGGTACCATGGTGGCTTTCTTATTTTGCTTCTGTCAGTGTTAATTTTCCAAAAAACGGAAATACAGAAAAGCAATAGCAAGAGAAATCGGGTGGCCGAAGACTTAGACTCTCAGTATACAACAGAAAGTAGCAGGTGCCATGGCCGTAGACTCTTCTGCCCCCGTGCCTCACCCAACCACAACAGGACACTCAAGTACTGCTGCATGCCTACACTGCTGAGTTAGTTCCTACCCGAGACACCAGTCCATCCTTCCTGGGACAACTGTGCTCGCAGGAAAGTGGGCAGTGTTGAGTAATCACGAGTTTGTTCTGTCTTGATTTGTAGTATTATACCCTTGTTGCTATTTTTTCCGGCTTAAACACCAGTCATCATAAATGCAGCCACTTCCTCCTTTAGTGATAATTAGCATTAGTCATGAGCCAAAAATGAGTCCACTTAAGAAGCAAAACAAGTGTGGCTTTGCTTACCTTTCATGCCAAACTTGGAATGCCTTGCCAACTTGAGCAGAAGCAGCATCACCAGCAGACAGAATCCCACCACAGACGCAATCACCACCACAGCATAGACCTGGAGAGAAAGCGAGGCTGTGACGACCTTGCAAAACCACTCCCTGCTCTTGGATAATAGTGATGCCCACGGCAGTTAGCATTTCCTGAACACTTACTATTATGATGCCCATGCTACAAAGGAGAAGCATGTCAAACGTATAAACAGATCTCTAACTGATACCATGTGGATAATCGTATCTATGGCTACATCTGTCTATTCATCCCTCCATCTGGAGACACAGGAGTAAAGGGGAAGGAGAGGGAGGGGTGGTAGATGAATAAATATGAATATTTTGTTGCTAGTAAAAAAATACAGTGCGGTTAATTTTATTATTCTCATTACTGTTGTACATGCTAAAACATTGTTCATGGTGAACATCCTTCTTAGTTTAGTGCCACACCTTGCAGGAGCCAGGGCACGCCAGAAGCAGGGCAGTGTTTTGCTGTGCCTCCCAGCGCTGAACAGGACTGGAGATAGAAATCACTGATCCGTACACTTTTCTGCATGGGTGATACCCACCAGGAAAGGCTTTTTATGTTTAAAAAAATGGAATTGCAAGTTGTGAGTTCTGCAAGTAGAAAGAGTAGCTGTGTGAATTCTGTCACAACCCCAAGGCAGAGGCGACAATGGAAACTTAGTATTCACTGCCACCGATGCTCCTCTGGGTACACTGTGATCATCTTGCTTGAAGGACATGGTGACATTGTAGAGACAAAGATGTGATAATGTAACACACTGAACATTGCTTTTAGGTTTTGCTCAGGCCAAGGATTCTAATTTGCTTTCTGTTGCTGTGATAAACACCATGACTGAAAACAAGCCAGGAAGAAAGGGCTTATTTCATCTTACAGTTTACAGTCTGCCATCAGGGGAAGCCAGGGCAGGAGCCTGAGGCAGGAACCATGGAACCCTGTGGAAGGATGCTGCTTACTGCCTTGTTTCCCACGGCTTGTTCAGTTTTTCTCTCCTATATATCCCAGAACCACCCACCAAGGTGGCTCCACCCACAATTAATCCACATCACGCCACTTCATCAAGAAAATGCCCTGCAGACATGCCCCCAGGGCCAATCAGGCGGAGCCAATCCTTCAGTTGAGATTCTGTCTTTCCAGGTGATCCTAGTCTGTGTCAGATGACAAACTTAACCAGCACATCAAGGTTCGGGGGCCGGCAAGCTTCTGTTAATGCTCTGACAGATGGAACATGCAGATTCTGCCAGGCACATAGCCCCTGTTCACAAGAACTCAGCTCTGCAGTGTAAGTTGAAAGCAGCCATAGAAGATGTGAAAACAAACTTACAAGGTCATGTTCTAATAAAGCTTTATTCATAAAAACTGAAGCTGCACTTTGACAGTGCTTACCAACTCCTGTGGTAACTGTCACTAAAAAGCTTAAACTCCATGTGTCATTCACTCTGTGTGATATCCCTTAAAGCAGTATTATTTTTCCCTCTAAGGTAATTGTTAATACTCCTTAACAAATTGATCTTGGCTCCTGTTTCTCTGGAAGACGCACTCCCTGTCTTGCTGTGGTTAGGGGCATTCTCGACACTAGTTGAGACTGGTTTAGCAAAGGGTGGAGCATGTCCTTGATGATTTGAGGTCTCAGTCAAAGGTCATGGTCATCAGCAAGCCTTGGTGTTGTCACTCAAAGACCTGGCAACTTTAGATTTGACGGTGGATCTGGGGGTGGCGCTACAAGCACTTAGAGAGTAAAATCCAGGAGTCTGCTAACCATCTACCATGGCCAGGAAAGTCCTTAGAGCTCCTCACCACCAAAGCCAAGAGTGTCAAGTCTGAGAAGCCCTACTCCACCTGCCTCTGGAACTTTCTCCCTGCTGTGATGAGAACCAGCTCTCCAAAGGGCAGCTGTGTGTCAGCCAGGTCCTACAGGCAGGACAAGGCTGAAGAGACTCCCAGTAACACCAGCAACACACGCAGTGAAGCATACGAGAAATGGCCGCAGTGCTCAGTCACTAAGATGCGGGGATGTTTGTTACTGCAGCATAGCAGATGCTGACACTGCAGGCTATAGATTTAGACTCGACTTCTTCCTGAGTGTGAAGTTCAGCTGCGCTGCTCTGCGTCTCATCATCTTCACGTGTGACTACTCTCTGCCCTGTGGACTGTATAATCCTCTGTGAGTTCGTGCAGACAGTGAACTAAGAACCGTGACTAGGACAGTAGCAGCACAGTAATTAAGATGATGGCAGGACAGATGGTCATAGGATCAAAACTAAAACTCGTAAAAAGGTAAATAAATATCCCAAGGACACACAGCTTGCATGTGAACCAGTCTGCCCAGTTATTTAAATTAGCTGTAATTTATTCGCAACAAAATGTATAGTTCACAAAGAAGGCAGGAAAATAAAAACTCACTGCTAATCCCGCTGCAGTTTCGCTGTCTGGTGTCAGATAAGAGAGGCATTGAGACAGTCACAAAGCACCTGCCAGGCACTGGCCATGGCGGCTGTCCTGCAGGCGTCTGATAACGGACCCTTTCGCTGCTTCTCTTCAGTGCTTCCGGATACAACGTCAGCAAAACTCTGGGTATAGACTTATAGCCTCATCAGCCTATACGTCCTCAGAGGGACAGAGGTTCCCTCGTGGCTGGCAGGGGGCCACCTTGTTCTAATCAAATCCACCTCCTTCAAACTTGCCCAATATAGCCACACTGAACAAACTACTCGGGTGTTGGTTAACCACCAGCCTTCTCTTTCCTAAGAAACAGTCACGACACCACAAAGTAGTCACCTTTGTTTTATTTCATAGTGACTGCAAAGAAAAAAATTGATACTATGTTGTGATAACTGTTAAGTTTTATTAGCAATTTTAAACTCTTACCATGCCTAAATTTGTAAACCAAACTTTATTGTGGGTATTCATAGGGAAAGTCCCAGCCAAGCTTCAACGCTACCTGAAATTTTAAGCATCTGCTGGAGGTTTCAGACCATGTCCTTTTCAGTGAAAAAGAGTGGCAGCTGAGCCAGCAAGATGACCCAGGAGGTAAAAACACTTGCCTACTGCAAGCCTGATGACCTGGGTTTGAGCCTTGCAACCACAGGGGAAAGTGGTCTCCTGACTGAGGCAGGAGCATACCCAAACATACACACACACATCATACAAATGGATGGCACACACACACACACACACACACACGCATGTAGATTACCGTAAGTGACCAAATGCATTACCCTGGCATAACAGGATGGGGGCCAGAGTGAATCAGCTGCAGAGCTTGTTACTTGTTACTTGTAGCTTGTTACATTGTTTCAGTTCTTGTTCTTTGCCAAATGATCTCCTATTTCATCATTTGCAACGCTTATCAGTGTACCCCGAACAAAGCAGCGTGAGTTATGTTAACTGCTGTGTGATTGACACATGACGTTCAGACTGTAACACAGGCAGGCAGAAACAGTGAGCCCCATCAGTGTTAGAAGCTGGATTATCTGCCGGATGGTGGTGACCCACACCCTTAACCCCAGCACTCGGGAGGCAGAGATGGATCTCTGTGAGTTTGAGGCCAGCCTGGTCTACAGAGCTAGTTCCAGGATAGCCAAGACTACACTGAGAAACTCTGTCTCAAAAAGCAAACAAACACAATCTACATTTTCTAACTCAGAGGCATAAATAAAGGACCATTTTATGGAATTTTAAAAATTCAGTTATGTATGGTTTAGACATTTGATGCACAAATAGTTTCTAGCTCCAAGGAGAACCATTAGATTAGAAGAAGAGTTATGGGCAGGATGCTGACAGGAACGTTGACGGCATCGTGAGGGCATTGCAACTATCATGGCTACTAGCAACCTAGTCTAATGGACTCATCCTCATAATATAAAGAAAAAAATAATTAAAATTTTTGAGATTCATAGAACTTTCATGTCACAAAGCACTATTCATCTTTGGACAGTTTTCCAAGTCAGATTAAAAATGTAAGACCCGACAACACCTGCAAACCATACTGGGGAGAAATAGCAGTTGGCAAGGAGCTTGTAGCCAGGTCCTGTTTGGCAGAACCTGGGTCAGCCTGCAGCTGTGGGAGCAGAAGAGAGGAATGGTGGATTCAGGCATGGAAGGAATTGGAGCTCACGGGACATGCTGTATGTGAGGAAAACTCAACCTGGTTCCAAACTGGTCCTACCATGGAACCCGAGGATCCACAGACCCTTGGGCGGCAGTTCACTGTAGAGTAAGGATAATCACCTGGGACTATTTCAAGACCTTCGTCACCAGCCTGAGCCTTCCAGGGAAGTGCGGCCTCATATTTCCCAGCAAGGACTTGCTCACCCACCCTTTCCCTCAGCTCTTCATGTGCACGCCAATCACCAGCATATGACCGTTCAGAATTGCCCAAACCAACCCAGGAAGCACCTATCAACCCAACTCACCGAGAGACGCTCCCGATTGTTTTGGTCGGCAACATCCGTGGAAGGGATCTCATCGCTTTTGTTTGTGGTATCCCCGATGTCAGTTGCTACAGTCCAGTCTTCAATTGGAGACAAGAGAAAGAGGAAGAATATGAAGTCATCAATAGGCTGCCAACATACACAGGGTCACAGCACAACCCAGAACAAAGCAAGGCAGAGCCAGAGAGTGCTGATCACTGTCAGGACAGCCTGGTTGTGCGGGGATGGGCCTGACTGCTCAGTTAAACGCACAGCGGGGATGGAACTGCACTAAACCAATATGGATCCCATCTCCCCATCACTGTTCTGCTGGTCATTCTAAATCCACTTTTAGATTTCTTCTTTGCCCTTCGGGAAGCTTCCCCTCATTAGTGCCCATCTTTAAAACAACCGACGGGAGCCATGGCTGCTTTTCACATGAAAATCTTTGGAGGGCAGATCTGGCTGCCAGTCTTAAAGCTGAGAAACGTCAGCAGGAGAAGGGAAATCATGCGGCTTAGGCCACATGGAAAGAAGCAGTCGGAGCTACACAATTACTCAGACTGTAAGAAAACCCTGGCTGCTGGGCAGGAGCATCTCACTGGGGAACAGAACAAGGGCTTAGGATGCAGCCTGGTGTGTGCATCACTGTGGAACTAAGACCCACAACAGAATCTTCAGAAGAGTGCAGACACACCAATATTCCACAATAAATAGGCCAACATAATAATGAGCCACACAAGCATGTCTTCATTGAATCCATACATCTCAAAGTTGGCTGGCATGTTCTAGATGGGTTTTAGTTTACACAGGTTAGGTGACTGATTTTCCACAGGCAATCAGAGAATTTATTCTTTTTTTTTCTTTCTTAAGCAATTTAATTTTATTTAAATTTCCACCTGTAATAATTCCAGAGGAATGTTCCCCATGAATCCACTAAAATCTTCCTCCATTGTTCTAGAATTTATTCTTAATATTACCAAGTACACAAACTTCTTAGCAACCTGATTGCAGACAGTGTTGTTTGTAAGCATCTTTGTTTCAATTCTAAGCGAGAACATTGCCCCTCATTTTCAGCCGGCGAAAGCCAGTTCATTAACTCGGCCCCAGCCAAACTCCCCTTGGTAGAATCATCGTGCTGGCTTTAGGGCAAACAATTCAAATTACATTTTTATTAACAGCATGTTCCTTTGAATGCGAGTGAAAAAAAATAACAGAAAAAGCACTTATTTTCTCTGTTTGTTGTTGTATTCTTAATGCCAAAACTCGCATTTTAGCAATGTTTATTTGGAATATCTTAAACTCGCTGATTTCAAACATAAGCAGACATCATTTATTTACTAATTTTTCTTTGTAGCATAGCCAAGTAGTCAGGCAAAATTTAGACCATTTTAAATGTCTCTAGTTTAAAACCATGACATCTAAGCCAACATGCCCAACGTGGGAGCTGGGGCCACTGGGGAGATAGCATTTTTAAAGTTTCAAAGTTACTGGAAAGAAATTCAAAACACAGTTTTAAAATGTAAAAATCACTGTTCAAACATCATGTTGTCAAGGATAATCTGAGACATGTTTTTCTTAAAGTCCTAGCAGTTCAAATAAAAATACATATTCAAATCACCTGTACATGCCACAGCTTGGACGAAATATAGATTAGCATGCATACACAGAGAAAGGCAACGTAATTCCCAGTTAAAGTTAGCTGGAGTTAAATACACATTAATGGGCATAGGGTGGTCCATAGGAAAAGCTTATCCGATGGAGATCTTTACAAAGTGCACACTGAGTATGACCATTGTTGGTGAAGGGCACGTTACAGACCCAAGCAATCAGGAACGTCAGATAATGTACATGTAAGTTAAAAGCTAAAGAACAAAGGACATTTAAAAATATAACGTTCTAGCTCATTTTAATTCTAACTAATTTTAACCATTTTCAATTATAGTCCCAATCTTGAAACAAAGCTTGTCACTTCTCTCCATTCGGTGGCTTTGTGCTCACAAGGGTAGCTGGGAAATCTGCACTAAAGGTTCTATAACCATCGTGCACCCTTAGCGTTTGGTCAGCAAGTGAAGTACAGATGAGCAGCTCAGCATTATGAGGGCAGCTTTTTGGCTCCTCCTCGTCCATGTTCCTAAAAGGACTTCCCTTTTTTCAGGTGCTAAGCCTGTCCAGCCCCAGGGAAACTGGCCTGCCCTCCAGGGATGGCCGAGTAAGTCAAGGCTAAGCATTCCTGCTTCCCAGTAAGAAAGATGAGATGGAGCACGGTTGGGTCAATCCCTTCACAGCATCAGCACACACCACAGAGGGAACCAGTCCAGCAAAGCTGGTCAGTGGATGGCGAGATGTGGAGCAGAGACAGCGAGTCTTGATGGCACAGCCCGGTCCTGGCCAAGCTACCCAGGCAAGCACTCCCTTTGAAGCTCTGTGCCCGAGCTGCCTTCTGCATTATACAAGAGACCATTTCATATGTGTTTCCTGGCCTGGTCTGAAGGTGATCCACCTCCCCTCCCTTGGTTGTCATGGCTTTTAAACAGGTAATTAGTTCCCAATTACGGAAACAAGACGTCTGCAGGAGCAGAATGGATTTACGACTTCCAAGAAGAGAGCCTGGGAGAGGAAGTGCCTTTTACAGGTACTGTAAATACCCAGGGGAAAGAGCCGTCAATACTGGGTGATACTTGAGATGTTATTTTGGCCCGTGTAGCACTTAAAAATGTGTATTTAACTCAGCTTACAGGTCTTCTTCTAGCTGATTTATTTCATTATACACAAACATTTAGAGAAATTACAGAGTGAAGAAACACGATAGCTACCTTCATAGAGGTCTTCAGGGTAGTTTGGGTTTGTCTCTGCAAAGCAAAACACATTAAAGAGTTGTAAGTACGCATTTTAGAGGGGAAAAACCTGCTTAGCTCTACCAAGCAAAATGTGTCACATACACCCTGAAGGTTTGCAGCCAGATAGCCTGTCTCTAAGGACAAGTCTCTAAGAGCTGTGGCTGTGATCACCCTACAGATTAAACTCTCTCCTCTTTCCTCCAATTCCATACCTCAAGGAAAAAAAGTGAGAAACCAATTTGGAAAAAAATTAGCTCACTTTGGCCACTTCTCCTGTACCATCTCCATCACACAGGGTTATGCTAACCATAGTTTGGATATTTTTATTTCAACGATGGTAATTGTCATAGTACTTTTCTTACTCTGATGTTTGGGGTTACTGTCAGGTTATGTACCCCAGAACCATTTACATCCAGGCCCATGTTATCAGCCTTGCATGAGTGCTTTTGTTTTTCCCACCCTCCTCTTTAGGAACGAGGAAGGGTTGAGGGTTTCCTTGTCCCAACAACACAGAAACATTATATTTCCCTTCTAAAGTCATTGACTAAAATGAAGTGATAAATACGGTTTCTACCAGAGATAAATACAAGCACATAAGAAATTTCTCATTTGCACAGCTGCGAAACCACCAACTTGATCAGAATCTCTGTGATCACAGCTACCTGGGTCTGTAAGAAAGTGAGCTTGGCAATACACCTCATCCTAGCATTTATGTGATTTCAGAATTAATTCCCTCAGAGTCTCCATACACGTCTAGTCTTTGCCTATCAACAGCAAAACTTGTGGCCGTAAAGTTCATTCAGTCTCCTTCTGAGCCACGAGCGGAAAAGCAGCATCAAAACAAAGTGAGCTGTGCCAGCTTTCAGCTCCCGAGCTCCCCGGTGAATAATAACCAAGGTTAGTCCGAGCGAATAAACCAGTGGAAACGGCCCTGGTGCTCCAGCTAGACTGGAAGCGTACTTCAGTGAAAGAAATCCTGTTTGCCGGAGGAAAATGGCGTGGATGGCTGTGTGTTGTGTTCAGTGCAGGGTGCTGCCTACGACTGGGCAGTTCACCTTTCCTGTGCACCTGTCGCTGGAGCCTATGTGAACAGCATCACCCAAAAACGCACATTATACAACCCGTGCATCCACCTATGACCAGACTGTGTTAATTCATACAAAATCAAGAAGATTTCAGTTACACGTTGAGGACTTTTATCACTGCCAATATCATTTTGAAGTAGTTTTGAAATACACTATCAAAATATCTATCCTTTAATTACAACACGGCGTAAAGGGGCCGGCCGACTTGCGGGCGGCCCTGCAGGAAGTCTGGGGATCATTTGGTGAATTCAGCAGTGAGAAGTCCCCAGAGCTGCACCTCCTGGCGTTCTTTGTAAGACCTCCATTGACCTCTCAACCCCTTCTTTTGGAGAGACCCCACACTAAACGTTGCCCTCCACAGTGGTGGTTCTGACTCCCTGCTGACGGACTGTTCCACAGGCCCAAGGGAGAAGTCATCCATTGAGCTGCCAGCCAGTTATTAGCTCGGATCCAGCACCCTTGTCTGTCTTCCCACCCGCCCCTCAACACACAGTCTGAGTCTGCCAGGGCCTCTGTCCTCAGACTTCACTTCAGGTGCCCTGGGGTTTTCTTCCAATCTGCCCTGAAACCCTTTTCCATACCCTGGTCATCCTTTCCCTCCATCTGTCAACCCAGCATGGCTGTAACGCCACCCTAAGTAAACTCAATCCCAGACTCCAGAGTGAGACAAGAAAAGCACAAAGACACAATGGCCCAGACACTCACAGGAGAGGAGCCTCGGGTCAGAGGTCACGGCCCCAAACCAGAGGGACCAAAACCATCCTATTCCTGTATGGAAGCAAGAGTCGGAGAATTCTAATTTCAAACCCACATTAATGGGTCGAAGAATGTAAGACATTTTGTTCCCCAGACATCAGCATGGTTTATAACTATAGAGTGTCCCATTGGAAGTATGAAAAGAAGAGTTAGTCTGGCATTGTGACCATCCCAGATAACCAGGGTTGAAGGGCATTCCTACAATAATGGACCGGATCTCCCAGCTCACGCAGCACCAAGGTTTCCCTCCGGCCGGATATGGGACTTGCTTTCTGAATCCTGGGAGCAGTTGATGGGCTTGTTTATTCTCAAATTCTCATGGATCCCAAAAATGGGAGGAAAGGGACACCACCAAACACTCTCACACACAGGGACACCACCAAACACTCTCACACGGGGACACCACCAAACACTCTCACACACGGGGACACCACCAAACACTCTCACACACGGGGACACCACCAAACACTCTCACACACGGGGACACCACCAAACACTCTCACACACGGGGACACCACCAAACACTCTCACACACGGGGACACCACCAAACACTCTTACACGGGGACACCACCAAACACTCTCTCACACGGGGACACCACCAAACACTCTCTCACACGGGGACACCACCAAACACTCTCACACAAAGCCCCTATGAAGATCCAAGAACATGAAATAAATTTAACAAAGCAGATTAGGGATATAGGAAAAGTAGGATTTCATGTAGGATCATAAATAACCAGGTTAGACCACAACCTAGAAGACAAAGCCTTTTCCAGGCTTGTGATCCCTGCATTGTGTCCTTGCTACCAGGATCAACTACAAAACAATCGGGCCCCCTTCAAACTTGCTGAAAACAGAATCTTTTTTCCAACTTCCTTTTCCCAGCTACACGAGAACCATCCCTGCTCTTCCACCGTGAGTCCTAAGGTCTAGGATGAGATGGAGGGCCTGGCAAAGAGACGCTGCAGGAGCAACAACCACGGTATTTGCTGTTGTTCCCTCCCAGACACACGTAACCAGACCTACCGAGTCATAGCACAGACGTGGTTCCTAGCCTACAGAGGCTAAGGCTGTATCGTAATTTCTAATTGCTCTTAGTAATAAACACCCAAAGTCAGATATTAGGGGTGAAAGCTGAAAGATCAAAGAAGCAAAGCAGTCAGTCACTAGTTCTTATCGCTGTGAAATCCTCAGGCCTAGGGGGATTGATTTCCTGTCTCTACCAATCCTCACACTGAATCCTGAGCTCCTGTCTCCTCCCGCCTTATATTCCTCTCTCTGGCAGCCATATCACTTCCCATCTCCCCCTTACTAGTGCTGGGATTAGAGGTGTGAGCCACCACTGCTTGGCTCTGTTTGCTTTTGGACTGATTTTGTCTCATGTATCCCAGGGTGGTCTTGAACTCACAGAGATCCATCTGCCTACATCTCCCTAGTTCTGGGATTAAAGGTCTGTGCCACCACTGCCTGGCCTCAATGGCTAACTACTGTGGCTAGCTCTGCACTCTGATCTTCAGGCAAGCTTCATTTGCTATAGCACAAACAAAATATCACCACATAAGGCCAGACATGGACATACGTAGACTCGAGTTCATGAAAATAAGATAACAATTCCTCTTTACACTTCCAGCGATGGACAATTTTTGAAAATATCCCACTGTTTTTTCCTCTTATGAGATAGAGTCTCACTGTGTATCTCTCGCTGTCCTGGAACTCACTCTGTAGACCAGGCTGGCCTTGAACTAGCAGAGATCCATCTGCCATTTGCCTCCTGGAGGCTGAGATGAAAAGCACTCACCACCACACCTGGGTGTCCGGCCATTTTTAAAGTCTGTTTTCTAACTGGCTCCTTTTCTTGAAGTCTAAACAATGCTCACTATCCACTTACATTCAGTGCAATGGTAAAGCTAGGGACCCTTGCAGACGCTCAGAGCTGAAGGACAAGTGAGGTGAGCCGCACGTGAGAAAACAGTTCCACCAGAGAGAACGAATGAGCAGCATCCGACCCACGCTGCAGCCTTACAGTGGAGTTGGAGAAGCATCTTGTGGTTTCTTTGAATATACCTGGCCCAGCCCAACAAGTGGGACACTACCCGATTAGAACAGCACACGTGTTTGAGATCCAACGAGGAAATATGGAAATCTAGGCACTCCATCCACCCCCCCCCCAACACACACACACTGGAGTTCTGAAATATCGTTTCATCCTGCACACACACTCCAGCGGCATCTCGGTGTCACAGCTGAGAGAAACTGAGGTCCGCAGACAAGCTGATCTCCTGGCTGAGTTCTGGCTCCTGAAGAGTAGCCTCAGATTCTGTGGGACGTGTTTGCTTTGACTTGAGGGATTGTGTTCAAGAGTTATGGGGAGAGGTCAGGGGTCCGTAGTGGCCCTAACTTCCAAAGGGAAAAGAGCTTGGCTTTTTTGTATTAAGGGCACAGATACAGGCCATCAAAGTTCCAGAATAAACTGGAAATGCCTGTGCCTCCGGAAGTTGGTGCTCCGGGCACGAGGCTTGCAAATGGACACCATCAAATCAATGTTTTCCTTTCTTGACTCCATCAAGATAAAACTCTTACCAGCACCTCATTCCATGCTGAACAGCCTAAAGTCCCCACTTTAGGGGTCCCCCCCTCTCATTGTTCATCATTTTGCCTTTTGGGTTTTTTCGGTTTTGTGTTTTTGGTGGGGGCAGGGGTTGAGGCAGTGCCTCACCCATGCTGCCCTCACATTTGCAGGGATCCCCCAACCTCTGCCTCCCAACACGAGCATGCTCAGCTCCATCTCAGCTTCCAATATCAACCATACCTCATGAGCAAACCTTCGGGCTTCTAGAAATTTGTCTGAATAAATTACTATGACTTGTTAAGCTACAAGATTGGACAGTTCAGTGGAAACCCAGTCAGAGGGTAAGAAAATAAACAAGGGAGAAAGAGGTAGCCTGAAATCAGCCATCTTGTGTACCGCACACACCAAGACAAGAATGCCGGGGCCAAAAGGACGCCTGCTTCCTTCTTTTAAGCTTTTGCCTCACTAATACCCTTAATTTTTTTAAGGTTTATTTACATTGTGTGTCTTAATGTTTTGCCTGCATGCATGTCTGTGCAGCGCATCCTCGTGGTGCCTGTGGAGGTTCGAGGAGGCCCTCAGAGCCCCTGAAATTGGTGTT